GGGAGAGGGGGGGGGGTCATATCCGTACCACATCATTAGATGTACGCAGTATACCGGAGCACAACAGTCAATGATTATTCCTCAGATTTCCCAGGTTGTTGTCATTGTGATTTCCGTGAACGGTGTGTCAAACGGAGCGTCAGGGTACTGCTTGGCTATATACTGGTCTAGTTGATTTTTGAATGACTGCTTACTTGCTTCTTTCCAATTATCATTGGTATGGAGTTATGAAAGCGACTTAATCGCACCGAGAAGCAATGTTTCTTCACTGGGACGTTGTCTTTTCAGTTTCGTGGAGTGGTCACGCGATGCGGACGGCCGGACTAATGTGAACAGGTGTCCTTCGAGGCTGAGCATATCCCTCAGAAGAATCATATCCCTCTTGCCTTTCCTTTACGTGTTAGAAGAATGCAGTCTATCGGGCCATGATTTATTTGATCTTCTTTTTACACCTTTCGTGACCCTCTTTTGAGTACACTCGATAGTGTTTACGTCTCTCCTGAGCAACGACGGGGCATGCCGGGATGTTTATCTCCAGGCACACCCCTAGCGAATGTGGAGAAGATCATGGAGAACAACTGTATTATAAAATTCCACAGAAGTACTATGTTTTCATACTCTCCTGAGTCCAAACTGTGTGCCAAACGAATCACATTAGAACAATCTTCAAAAAATGAAGGTGCTCTTTGATTTGCCTCAGGATTCAATACCGCTAGGAATTCACAACCTGGAGCTCTTGAATAACCAAAGTCTGACCCGCAAAACAGCAGGTAGGTGTGTGAACAAAGCAGTCCATTGCGATCCAGTGTCTAGTTCATTGGATCATACGCCCTTTTGACGAAGCCAAAGGTCCAACGTGCCCAATACACCTCGATGCCCAATCGAGGCAGTGCCCACTGCCACAAGCAGGAAGATGTGGGTGATTGTGGTTCCTACGCCTCTTCTTGGCCGGTTTGAAATCAGAATTTTTATCCAAATCCCATATGTGCCAGAGGTCTACCTATCCGGATGCTGATTTTTCGTCCTCTCACTTTGGTTGGAAAACGTTTCCGCCACATAAAGGCAGTAAGGATGGTTTCTTCAGTGAAGGCTATTGGAGACGCTTGGTCGTTTGGGAGCACTTCATGTGCAGACAGCTTTGCTATCCGGTTGAATATCACGCCTAACCCAGCGGGGCCTTATTTGGTTTGCCACTCCAAGTCCTGGCGCTTAGGTTGCCGGCCTCCATCACTGATCAGCTCGTCTTCTTGACTATGCGGCCCACCCTATCTGCTGTTCATCACACAATTGTGTATAATCAAATAAAGATTCCTTCTTATGTCATACTATGGTAATCGCCTCGAAGTCACGATGTTTTGTCGAATTAAAATTTTTGATAAACTGATCCTCGTTTTGATCGTTTTCTTGGCTTTAGCTCGCTAGGGGATGTCGGGCTTATACGGTAGTTAGAGGTGGATGTCCTGTGGTGTTCAGATCAGGGATTCATAATCTTTGTGTTAGGAAAAATACTGGTAGGTAGACGCAATGTTAAAGTACATGCGTGTGTTTAGCATATTTGTATATAAGTGTGCAATGTCGTTGGAACATTCCGAATGTCAACTCATTGGTTCCATTGGCTAGAAGTATTTGTCACATTCTCATCTCCATCAGAAAACGAGATGGATGGACAATAGCAGAAAATATATTGTGCACGTAAATTGTTATGTTTGGTGGTAGGCAGCTTTGATGTCGTCCGGTTCAATATTACGCCTAACCTAGCGGAGCCTTGTGTGGTTCGCCACTCCAAGTTTTGAGGCTTAGTTACCGGTTTCAGTTACTAAACATCAGGTCTTTGTGACTATGGGGTTTACTCCATCTTCTGTTCATCATACTAAGGTGTGTGATAAAAAGATGTGCAGACAGTTATCTCGAGGGGATAGGTTAACCATGAGACATAAGTAGCTCTTTAATTTTCTTCTATAGTCACGGTATACTAGTCATGGTCACTAGCTCGTTTTCAGTGGGTCATTGGAATTCTTGCTAAATTCAGGTATTGTGTCTACCTCAAATCTGATCTCTGCACGTTGGCGTTATACTTGTCTCATCCATAAATTTTGTTGTTCCGTTTTCTCATGTGATATTTGGTGTTACTCATTTAGTACAGCTCTATTTTACAGTTGTTGGTATAGATCCTCCTTTATCATGCCCACCGGCCGACGTTTCGCTGGACGACCAACAAATCAGTCCTCGCCCTCTGTGTTTCAGAATACCCCAAATGTGAAGTAAGCTTGAATTGTTGAATGTTCAATAATCTCGATTAAGGTCTAACGATTCCAGTTCTACAGTCATACGACATGTGATGTTTCCGTCATTGTCGGGTTCCAGTCCGCTGATAACCTCGATCCTGCACTGTGCTTTATTTCTCTTGTCCGTGATGGTTCAGTATCTGAATTTGTATAAGACAGTTTGGTGGATCCCCGAGTCACCTTTTCAGTATGCTGTTGTAAGTGTCCGTTCCAAATGCCTGTCAAATTCACTTTGATCTCTTAGAATTTCCGTGCAATCGACTACCGCGTGTTCGCTCATATTATCCTCATGGGGCTCACACCTTCTTTGTACCGAATCATTCTCTCGGTAAGTAAACAGTTGCTTGCTCATCGCATTCTTTCAACTGTAGTTTAGCGCATTGTGGTGGTTTGTGTGTCCTCAGTACCTAGTGAGCTGTTATGGTAGCCCATGTGTCGTCTGTAATACCACCGATGAAAAATTCATATGAGGATGGATAGGTTAGGAGCCATAATATCACTATTCACGGCAGATTTGTCATTCCCGGCTTCGACTGTCGTTTTGTGACCTTATGTATTTCATCACGCCAAGTTCCAGGGCCCAAGTTGCACTTGTCACAGGATGAATATTATCTATAATTGTGAAGTTTATCACTCTACTTTTCATCACACAGTACCGCCTTTTAAAAATGCCGTGCAGTTTTTTAACCAAAACTCCATGATTGTCATCGCTCCCGTCAAAACATTCACCTCTATTAGGCAGACTGTGTTATTATATTTATCATTATTGTATTTCACGCTCGTCTGAGGCCAGACTGCGTGACAAACAAATCATTGTACATTAATCTTCATAAGAAGAAAAATGTTCTACGATTTGCATGTGGGCCGAATACTGTCAGGTTGTCCAGGTCAGGGCAGACATGAGTGCACCGCCTTATCATCAGGTTGTTCGGCCGGAACCAGTTCGGATAAGTATCGCACAATACAGTCTGGAAGATACATTTGATTCATAGACTTGATTAAGAAGAGGGACATGGACGGAGTACGGATGGCTTCCTTAGATGTGACTTTATTGTTTACAAACATGCCACTTTTGAAAATCATTACATACCTATGCAACTATATCAGAATAAGAATGAGGTCAACCTTAGAAACCCTGTGGATAATTTGTAAGAGTTATCATTGCGTTACACGTACAACATCCAGTTCGGCTTTAACAGAGAACTCTATCATCAAACGGACGGTGTTCCCATGGAATCATCTCTTGGACCTCTTTCAGCTGATATATTTGTTGCTAAATTGGAAAATGGGGTCTTACGAAACACAATAAGAAGCTTGCCATTCTACTGTCGTTTTGTAGATGATATTTTCATCGTGATCTATTCATTTCCAAGCCACGCAACAACAACAAAACATGCCCTTTCATTTCCAAACCACATATCGCGAGATCACAAGCAACCAATCATATTCATCACGTCAGACCATTACACTAGTTTGACATTTTTGTACCCTATATATAACTATTTGTCCGAGGAGAAAGTTATCGAAAATATGCTTTGTTCACTACAGTGTTTTCTTGAAGTCACTTGGAAATATTTTACACTTTGAAGGTGCAAAACGCATACTGAACATGGCTACACTAGCACTCAAACTATCCAGAAGGCTTGTAACTTACCTGGATCTTCACTAGACAGTACAATGACATCTACATACTCCAGATCAAACAACGACGAGACTGACTTGGTGTGATGGCTTGTGCACCTCTCTGATCCAACGAGCTACACAGGCTGGCTTTTGTCAACCCCTAGATCTAATCATGCCTGGAAGGTCGAAGGGTAGAGGTCGGACGAATTGCAGTCTCCTGATCCTCCAGGTTGGGGGTTCGACTAGAATTTGCATTTCAGTCGGTAAAAAATGGCGAAGCGGTAATTGATCCAAGTGAATGGGCCTCCACTTCGCTTCACCCGCTACCCTGCGGTTAGGTTCTTGTCAGAACTAAAGGCTTTGGTTGAGAACCCTAGTCGTTCTCCTGCTTAGTGACTAGACACCCTCGCAGTACGCATCTATCAAACTCCAATGCATATGCATTGCGAGTTTGGCAGCGGTCAGTGAAGTTCGCTTCTCTCTATTTCACTGTACGATGTTGATGATGAGATCAGACATTCTTCCGTCTGGGATCAAGGCTATACCATTGTCCTCGCACGAGGATAGGACCGTTTGCATAATCAAATTTATAAGGATGTTAAGTAGAAAAGGCTAGAGGGGGCAACCCTGACGAGCACCACTTTTCGTGGCGAAAAAGTGCGGTAAGCTCGCAGTCGGCCTCGGCTATTAGTATAAAGCGATCATAATGTTGAAATAAACTTCTCGGGTACACCCTTCAGGTAAAGGCAGCGCCAGAGTTTAGAGCGGTCGACTGAGTCGGAAATCGCTTTCGGATCGAGGAAGATAGAAATGGTGGGTTTACGAAAGGAGTGTCTGTGTCCTAAACTTTGTCGCAGGGTGAAAATGTGGTCTGTGCAACCTCAGTCAAGTCTAAAGCCGGCCTGAATCTCACGTGTGCACTCTTCACATGCGGCACACAATCGACGGAATACGATACCAGCAAGAAGTTTAAAAACGATGTTAATTAGACTAATTCCTCTGTGTTTTTCACAAGGGGATCTGTCACCTTTCTTGCAAATCGGTATGATGACCATTCAGTTGGAACCTATTGCTTCTCCTACACTAAGCCCTGGAGTTATGTTAACTTTAAACCAAGGCTGAACCTCCATCCTTAGGAACCGATGGGAATAGCGCATCTGGAGCGGAGGCCTTATGTTTTTTGAGGTAATTTACTTCTCGGGTAACCTCCACTTCAGATGGGGGTTCTGATGTCAAGTGGCAGTATTTTCCCAGTTAAAGCAAATATGGGGTCTTTTATCGACGGGGGTCAGTTAAACGGAGCCTGAAAAGTTTCTACTCATCGATCTAGACGGCATTGTTGAATATGAATCAGTGCGCCGTCAGGTGCCTCACTTACACCTTTTCCTGGACCCGTAATCCTAATTAAATGAAAAGGATTGTGATTATTACCGATAGCCGCAGCCTTCTCTATCTACACTTTCTTATCCACCGCTTATCTCGATCATTCCTCAGGCTCTTGATGAGATGACGTCTAAGTTATGTGCGCATTATGTCGTGTTTTGCATCAAAAAGAATGTCTTTGCGAGTGTCCAGTAGGGCAGCCGAGGTCGACGAGATCCATCGTTTTTGCTTCTATCGTGCTCCAGAATCCGTCGTTATTTTGGTTAACATTTGGATCGCTTCCTGGATTTCCGTCCAGTGTTCCCTGTGTCCCTCGAGTAATGGTTGGGTTGAAAGGCGATCAGAAACTATAAGAGTTACAAATATAGAGGTTGAAAGATTACGGTTGGAGTTTAAACCACATGAGTTGTCTGTTTCGTGTGAACGCAACTCAACCTTCACTGTCACCTCAATTGACCCTTTGTCTCAGCTATCCTCCGGACCGTTGGCCACTTATCCAGTTCTTCGCTTCGTCAGCGGTGTCCCGTTATTCAGTGCTTGGTTCTTTCTGGCCGTTTATACAGGAATGGGAATGGAGACAGTGGGCTACAGTCTGTTCTATCGTGTGTATTTATACGCTTTACTGCTCTATTTGTAAGTCGCTTCCCCCACCCCCACATGGTCCTTGTTTACGCTTACGACGTTTCGCTTCTCAGTACGAGTTCAGGCCATTTGTGATCTCATTTCAACTGTTTGATTGATGGAATGGCCACATTCATTTTGAATGTTTGCTAATTCAAATTGTGAAATGCTGTTTTGGTGTTCGAGCACCGAACTTCTTTTTGTATTTTTTTTAGATTTGTGACCATATGAAATCGGTTTGAATTAGTTGTTTGTCCGCCACTTGTCTCTTACTATTCCCATAATTGCGGATCATTTGGAACTGAGTCGAGAACATGTGAGATAACAAATTTTGAGTAGTGCGATTTTGTGTGCACAAACAATCACACACGGATATGACCCAACGGATCTATTTCGATGCGAAACGGAAAGGCCAAGTGTGAGGAACTAGCTAATCAGCAGGAACATGGTTTTTGCTGTACAGATCAGTAAGCTGTGTATTGCCTATTTCTTTCATTTGCTGATTATCGCGAGTCGAATTGATTGACCCGAACAATACCGAGAAAAGATTGATCCTTAAAGTTCTCTGTGAGTCGTAGTTAAACACTCCAGCTATCTATCTACTAAATTCTCCATTCTGTGTTGTATGTAACTTTTGTCATCTATATCTTCTGATGACGAATCCCATTCGACTCGATTTATGTTACCTGACTACATCCTTTTGTTTTGGCAATTTTTTCACGGATCGGTGGCGCGCGTTCGAAAATTGATTTTGTTGGAATTCAGGGCGATTTAACCTGTAAAACTCTGTCATTTTTATCGATCAGCCGAGATCGTGACTTTTCCCATTTTATGTAGTCCATGGCGGCTCTTTAATTGGTCTTTTTCTCTTACTTCTAATTGTATCCTTGTTCATTCCATAAAAAGAACGTAAAATAGGAGAAAAAATTTCCGTACGAAAAGAGGTTTAATACCCCACTCTTAGATGACCTCATAGAGAAAGAGTAATGTGGCAGTTTATACTTGATGAATTTGGGCGTTTGGGCGTTCATAACGCGTGGAACTGATTGCGTCTATCATGTGAAAAATGGGGAGCACGATACGGAATATAATGAAAATCATCATCATTGTTCAGGGAGATACAAAGAAGTGAACTTCGCTGCCAAGCTCTTACTGTACACAAAGTGAGTGAGATAGTACAAGATGGATAGGGTCTGGGCCTAACTGGAGAGAGAGAGACAAAGAAAGTGAACCTCTACGGTCAACAAAGAGTATACAGTCTAAGTGTGCAGACATACCGTTTCAAGCATTCTGGCCTGAGGAGAAATGATAACAAGAACGACACTGCTGTCGGTTCGCTGTTATGACCTTCAGTGTCTCCAACCATGCGGTTACGGAGTTTTTTGGACCCCAACCTGAAAGGCGCTTGACACCTACTCTACCTAATGACTCTGTATTTCTTCATGCCTCGTCTCCACGTCATTTGTGGATCTCCAACCTGGAGAAAGACCGCAACTACAAATTAATGCTATCTGTCTCTCTCTCTCTCAGATGAAAATATGGTACTGCACTGTTGCGTTAATTTCAAAATGATGGCTACCATGCTGACCGTAACCATTTTTCTCTAGTAGTCCGCGGAATATGAAAATTTCGAGACTCCTGGCTAATCCCAGTCAAAACCAGCTGCTTGAAGCCTTAATGAATGATCAAATCCTACTAACCATATCGTTCAACAGACGATCAGGTACACCCAGTGCTGAATGATTTCCACATTTCATGGAACTTGCTCGTGCTGTCTAGTTATGCAAACTGGTTAGAGTGGGTATCTCGCGCCTTCCAGGTTGGGGTCCGAAAGACTCCGCAACTGGTTGGTTGGAGACACTGAAGGATATGGCAGCAAATCGACAGCAGTGGTGTTCTTGTTTTCAATTCCTGTCAGCCCAGAATGCTCGAGAAGGTATGTATGCACAGTTAGATGCAATACTCTGTGCGCTGACAAGAAAGATTCGCTTTCTGTCCCCTCTCTCAAAATAGACCCATTTTCTATCGGCCCTACATATTTTCACTAAACTTTTATGAATTCCGAGTTTAATAGTGATCAGGGAAGTTTGCTTTACTGTATTCCGCTGTACGACCATAATGATGAGGACTAACTTCCCTTCACGAATATCAAGGACATCAATTCAACTTTGGCTCTGTGGGAATCGTCAACCAGGCCCGGTCCAAACAGGCCACAAAATTTCTCCAAGCTTTGCACTCTCTAATCAACTCCGTAAACAAACCACGAACTGGATCACCTGTACACGCCAATGCAACTCGGCGTCACGACCCGGAGAACAGACCAGGAACCGTAATGCAGACGAGAAAATGACCTTCCCTCCCATCGCGCTAGCTGAACAGCTATCCAGCCCGGTGGTGGTGGTCAAGTGATTAGGTCACCAACTTGTGACCTGTGAGTCCCAGGTTCGAACGGCCCCACCACCGCCCGTGTTGCCATGCAGCCTTTGTGTAGCCGCGGCTCCCTTCCTGAATGTTGTCTGTACATTGTACATTCAATAAATAAAAAAAGAAGGAAAAAGACACTCGAGACAAAAACATTAGCTGTAGAAGAACATAGATAAGCGACCGGGTACTGACAGAACACTGTCACTTCTCCAGCACTGAAAAAATCATCTCGGTTGGTGGGGAAACATTTACTAACCAATTGCCAAGCTCAGCAAATAGGAGAAAATGAATTCAGTTCACCGGAGCTACGATAACCGATTTTCAATATTCCACGTGGTTCCAGTCGAAATATCATTTTTTTGACTGTTCGTTTCAATCCATCGCGGATGTCTCTGATTAATTTTGTCTTCGTCCGGTAAGGTACCACACCTCTTGTGTTGTTTCTTCACTCTAGTTCTCATGTCAGGGTAAGGTTCTCCTAATTCGGTGATGCTATGTAATGAAACACCAAGAAACCAACGGAAAGGTGCATCAACTCGTGATGACTAGCTTTTTCACTGAACTATGCAACTCAGTTCCGTGGGAGTTTGATCATGCGCTTATCCTGGATGAACCGATTTTTTGCTGCACCATTTTAAGATGTCATTATCTTTAGAAAAATCAGATTATTGACGTTCCTCTGTCACTACTGCACCGGTCCGATAAGACAACCGGCCGCGTAGACGAAAATTATCACACAATCGTGGTCGCGTACTGACACTAGGCAAATTGGTCCATACCAAGTGAATGAGGTATCCAGACCGTTTCGATCCCTCTGCGGAATGAGAACGGGATCTGGGCACATGCGATAGTGCGTACGCAGTCAGCAGGTATCTTCACAACCTTTTCTGTGGATTTAGAAGTAATTTGTGCAAGCACTTCAGTTCCCGTGGCCTAACTGCTGACAATGGATCTGTCCTGAAGCGCTCAAACAAATGCCCATTGAGTCCTGGTAAAACCCACATCGAAATCTGGAAAAATTGTTTACCGGTATTCTCAAAGTTCACATTATTTCCTTACCATTCCCTTATAAATCCCGGTATTTAATTAATGACATTTATATATGTAATATTGTATTGACGGGATTTTGGAACGTTAAAAACAAACTTATTTACCACTGTTCTGTTTACGTCGTATTACACGAGTCCAGTGAGAAAACCTGAAAAGCAAGGCTGACGTTAGGCGCATCTCAGGTATTCACGATCGCCTACTGGAGCAAGTGGTCGACCTCCATAGACTACGTTTGTTGCGGCATGTGCTACGCCCATCATCAAATAAATTGCCATGGCCTCGTGCGGTTTATCGAGACATGTGTTGAGTGGAAAAAGTGAGGAGTGACCAAACTCAAACCCAGAGTGAGGGTATAAGAAACTTCGACCGTGAAACTTGTTCACATAGGTCTCGTTAGGTTTCCTTGATGATGATATCGCGATCAGTGTAAACAATGTTTAGACACTGAATGATATGATTGTGTCGTAAACAGTGGTGCTCGTGCGTCTACTCATTTTTCCTGCAGCTTTAGTCTTCATGAATTCTCTGTTTTCACTCTAATACTGATTTGAACAGTTCCATCGTCATTCTGTTTTTTAAGCTATGTGGGCAACCAAAATCGTCGCACGAAAGTGCGTGGTTAATGGTTGTTTAAAACTGATCTGTTCTATAAGACGCTTAAGGCATCCAGATTTTTCTGGATAGCATACATTTGACAGGAATATTATGATTTGTTTTCGTCTAATGTAGTATAGTAATTAATTCATTTCTCCTGGGAACCAAACCGTTTTTCATGTGGGTTGTGAAACCCACACGTTGCGTTACACCCACCGAGTGTTATTCGAATTCAGCTTTAAGCTACTCATGAGTAGTCATAAGCAGTAAGTAAAAATGCAGACTGTCCTATTTCTGTTTTAATCCACCATACAAAGTGAACCTAACCAAATCGGAAGTTATGAAGATGGAAAAATTACCATCTAATCGAGGAGTATTAGGACACTGAAAAAGACGCACCTGTTATCATATTCTCAGCATTGTTATTGGATGTTAAGTGGTGTAGGCAATGAGTGTCAGCATAATTGATTATTTACTTTGACTGTAAGCTTATTGTGCTGTCGGACAGAGATATATTTTGAATTGCTTTTATTTTTCCGCTATAGGGCGATGTTGTCTTCTCCTTGTTTTACTCTCATACCCTATTATACCGTTAACATTAATTATAAACCCCCTTATCACAAGTACTTGTTTTTCGGTGAAGATGAGAGGTAAGTAGAGGCCCAGAACTTGAAGTTATTTACTCCATAAGTCTCAAATAGGACTTAGGTAGAGAAAGGCAGTCGTTCGTAAATTTCGCGATTCTCTCAATACCTTTTGTTTGACGTTACTTTGTGATCTTTGGTTCCCTTTCTGCTCCCTCCCTCAAGTTAGATCCGATCCCAGAAAACCTTAAATTTTATCACTAACTTTGTACACACTGTGAGTTTGGCAGCAATCGGTGAAGCGCGCTTCACTGTCTTTCGCTGTGCGATGATGATGATCTTCTTGCACTAATAATACACCTGTGACTAGTTGTTACTCGCCATTTTATTCAACTTATGCTCTTATCTGCCGGGATCTACATCAAGCGATTGGAAACTACCTAGAATAAATTCGGATGTAAGCAGCAGTTTCTATAATAGTTTGTCCTTAACTTCATGACAACCATCAAACCATAGCCGTCTGATCTGAATGACACGTGCTATGGAGTAGACTATCATCCTCATTTCACTGTGAAATGTAGTGAAGCACTTTCCTATCTCAGCCTAGCTCACAGTGCAAAACCCTTAAGTGTATTGAACAAAAAAGGTGTATTCTCTCAAGCATACCCATACATTTTTGTCAAGGATAATTTGTTTCATGAATACTTCGTGGTTTACCATAATCAAAAAATAGTCACGTGAAGAGTGCGACAGTGGTATCGAGGTATTGCGCAAGTGTTATGCCGATTATTTGGCTCTCCCAGTGAAGTGTCGTGACGAAATCCGACATAGCTGGGCATTTCATACCAACCTGTGTGCTTCCTTCACCTTCTGACTGAGAGTGTAATTAATAGACATGATAGGATAAAAAAAACTTCACATTCCAGTGCCACCTCATTTACTTGGATTATCGGCAGTCGTGATGTTCCTTCTCCTGGGAAAGACGCATTTCCTGGTAGATTATGAGTGGCATCATTTATGCCAAATTTCAAGAGTCGTGTTGCAGCTACCCTTCTCTGAAAGAGTTCTTCGCGAAGAACCCAAGCGGATTGTTATATGTAGAACGATTCACAAAATTTGTAACCGACTATTTTGACAACTAAATTCATTTTTACGTCTCCGTTGTTTCATTAATCGGTGTAGGCCTGTGCTGGGATTTCTGTTTTACAATGTGGATCGAATGGCCCAGTTGTGTTTTCGTATGAGTTTCACCCATCCCAAACGTTCCCGGAAGTCGAGCACACCGACGATGAATTTTTATCATGGAGCATTCACCAAGGTATGTCGTTCCTGCACTTATTCACGAGCCATACTAACTGTTATAGGTAAAACAATTGGCCGCCAAAGTGTTTTGGGTCTGCGCTGATTGGCCCGGAATGACACCCACCAGCACATTGTTCCCTGTTCGCTATATCACTGTTTCAAACGCGCCAGTCGGGAACATCAATGCCTCGTTCATCAATTGTTCTCATCACTATGGTGTTGAACCGAATTCGAAAGCGGCTGTTTTGCTACGTCATCAGTGTTTGAACTTGTCGGCCGAGCAAATTCGTGAGGAAGTTTTACTCTTTCGACGTGATTTTAACGTGAGGTTGATGGACGTCTTGTTCAACGCCTCATACTCAGTATACTACAGTTGTTTTCTGCCCGTGCTGTTTCTCAGAGTAGGTTCCCAATCTAGATAACCAAATTATCCCACTTTTATCAGTTCAATCGACGTTCACGATGAGATTTTTCATTTTCCTGTGTCAAGACATTGCCGTTATTCCATTTATGGCGGTTCATTCTCTGAAGATTTCTAGTATGTACGATGAACTCACGACATTGGATAAACGCAAACAAGTGTAATATGCTGCTACTGGATACTCATCTCTATTTTCTATCTTTGAATCTATTTGGCTTACATTTTATCAATTTTGTATTCCTCATACTCAATCACTGTGTCTCTTCCCCTTGAATAAGCCTTGAAATCACTGTACGGTGGTTGTTTCACGCTAATTGTCAGAAATCATCAGTAGTTCAGTTCAGTTTTTACAACCATTAACCATGCATTTTCATGCGCCGGT